TTCAACCACTAAAACAGGAAAGACAGGCATCTAATCTGCATGCCATCTGCAGCAGATGTTGAACTAGACAAAGAAAGTGGCATCCTACAAAAAAATACAAGGAAAACGTACCTTACAACAGTAGCTCTATAGAACATACAGTCTGGACTGATCCACTGAAGACTCCTAGCTCCCCACCCCCTAAGTTTTCAAGAAATTTTAACCTGATTTCTTTTATTCACGGATTTTCAATAAAAGACTACCAGAGGAATCATCACCACTTTAAAAAAGCCATTGGGAAATATACTTCAGCTTGTCTTTACTTGAAAAAGCCTGAGCTTTTAAAAGGTACTTAGAGGAAGCAGAACAAATTTGTTCACTCTTCAAAGCCTACTGAATAACAACAGTGAAGGGGTTTCTCTCAGTTTGCAACTATGCTGACTTCTCAATTCATACTTTTATATTACAGAAGATAAATTCCAAAATACAAACTTTATATACTTCTTGGGCTCATATGCTTTATCAGAGTTGCAAAAGTCGGTATTAGACCAGCTACACAGATGTACCGTGACAAGAAGGCAGTAGTGCCCAATTACACGTTGCCTTCTATTTCCTGCTTTCCTTGCAAAAATTGTGAAAAAAAAAGCTCTCATTCCATTAAGCCCAGAAATGTATAAATGTGCAAATATGAAAGAATAAGTAGCTCAAGGAGTTAATTTACTAGATTTATCTTATCATTTTTTTTAATATACATGTAAAATGTACTTATCTATACACAGAAATTGTGGAGATATGCAAATAAGCTAGCTGAAAATTTCACAATGAGCTTATTTCTCATGCACCTTTACCACTGTCCTGATTCCACTGACCCATCTCTTTCAGAAGAGATGTATTCGGAAAAGTGGAGCAGTAAGAACCATCAAAATGCTACTATGACTATTCTTTTTTTCCTATCTAGTTGGGAAATGCTAACTTTCTTCTTAAAATATTTGTATTTTCCAGCTCCAAAGACAGGCATACATGTCTGGAAACCACAGGTTGCCTGCTAGGTCCATCTATGTCTTTCTCTCTGCCCATTCTGGAGGCATATTCCTCATCCCACAAAAGCGAGTGCAGATTTTTCTATCACACAGAAGATGGCATTTGTTGTTTTTTTTAATCACACCTGTCAGATGCAAGGCTGGCTAGAAATCAAAAATTCTACTTGGCAAAAAACTAAATTAAAATTTGACGTTTCTTTTTGATGACGCATATTGGAATAGAACAAATTGCACAAAAGAATTCCATGGACGTTTTTAAGTTTTGCAAAGAGAGAAAGCAAATAATAAGCAGAAGCACATGGCATCCCCCCTTATGAGTGGGCTCAACTTGCTTGCAGAAGTAAAATGGGATTATGTGTATACCTTACTCTCTTGTGTCCTATCAAAACTCAGAACTCCCATACCGTAGTGCCATAGAGTTAAGTTTCTCGTAATTCATCCTCTGAAGCTTTTGTTTTGGATGAAGATTAAATCTACTCTAGGCTGAAGACAAAGAAACTATGTCTTTCTTCGTAAATGAAAGAGGGCTTTGGAAATGGATTATAGCACTGGCCTGGGATTATCCATAGTTTTTGAACTGTTAGCACATTTCCTTGCATGATTTTGCCTCATGATAGCTACAGCTTGCGTAGATAAGCCTGAGTATGATTCAGGACACATGTCAATGGCCATGCCCTGTAGGCAGTTTGGGAACGGTCACATTTTTGAGGAGGAAAAGAATTTTGTCTAATGGATGAGCACTGAGCCGTCCCACATGGCCCTAGACCAGGGAACAGGCCTTGCCTTGTTTTATTTAGTAATATAGATGTAGCCAAAGATACTGAGACTATAGATAGATACAGAAATGCAGTCTGTAGGAATGTGAAGTGCTTAGTTAAATTCCTGGCTGAGAAAGTAAGGGAATTCAAATCTCTCACAACCAACATATTTTCTATAAGGTTTAGGGTTTGGTGATTCAGCATTTTCTAACAAACTCACTACATTAAAATTCACAGTTAGCTCAATGAGCAAGTAAATAACCTAAAAAACTGCATTTAAACTGAGATAGCAGAATGAGAAATAAGACATTCTAAGTGCATTTAACTCACAAATGATTTGACCTAGGCATAAACACTGTTTACATTATTAATAATTTGTTTGAGGGCTCTTTCAAATTCTATTCTGCACATCCCCCTTTCTGAGCACAGAGATGAGTTTTCTCTGTTTTTTCCCTTGCTGCCTGTATTAGGCTATCATAGTAACATGAAGCATATTTTACAAGACAGTCATAAAAAAAAAGATAGCCATAAATACAACATTAAGTTCTAATATAACTACATCTCAGGAAGTTATTAGTTTTGAGATCTTCTAATGCTGACAATGAAGATTCCCATTTACACATTTAAATGACATCCACTTAAGAGCATTCACAATCTGCTCAGATAATAATCTAGTGATTTTTATTTTTTAATTATTTGTGTCACTGAAATAAGTATGCACTCTAGGTTTTATGTGCAATACTATGATATACCCTGCTGTCCCTTGTGCATGTGCTAAGTGATTCTGCAACAATAAAAAGGGCACTAGGGGATACTTTGCCACACAATTCACGTGGCCAATAATATGTAAACAAGAATTATGTGCAAAGACGAAATATTAAAAAAAGAATGGCCTAATTAAGAAAAAGAAAAGATTTAATCTATCTTTGTTTGTAGAATGAAGCACATAATTCAATTCCAGGCCAGTGATTTCAATCTACTATCAGAAAAATATCCTTCCCAGCTGAGAGAAACAGAAATTGCCAACTATGCTAAAATTCTGGGAATTATTCATACTGCTTTCTTTGTTTGGCAGCACAGACCTTGAAATTACAGATGATCAAAGAACAGCTTTTACCTAAGAAAAGAAAAAGCTAATATAAGCCAAGAGAGACTAAAAATGCTTCACCAACATAGTCACTTGATCTCCAATATTTCATGTAACAAAAATCTTACTTCATGAGAAATAATATTTGCTAAGGCTCTTTTTCATTATTTTTGCAATAAAAGAATGAAGCTAATATAAATCTGAGCTGTTATTTTTCTCAAAGCCAAAAAAGTTTAGCACTTTCTGAATTAAAATTGTATGTTTCAGATACAATAAGATGAAAATTTTCTCTGATCCCCCAATAAAGTCCTAATCTGCATGCCATATTGCCTATGAAGGTACGATATTTCTGACACAAAGAATATGAAATAGCATGCTGATCCATTTTAATAATATATGAATATAAAATCCAAGTAATGACTCCACATATCCTAATGAAAAATTAAACAGAACATGATTACTTTGAATGTAGTTTGGAATGCAGCTGGTAAGAATAAATGATGGTGAACCTCATTAGAATTAGTATACCTGAGAGGGGTGTGTGTGGGGGGGGGTGGGGGTGTATAAAATTCAGTAATAATAAAATAATAATAATATGTGTTATTTGGAAAGCTCAACCTGAAAATTCAGATCTGCATATAATACAAACAAGTACACACACGATATATACCTACGATTCAGAATGCGTGCCAAATATTACAGAACAAAATCCCTCCTTCTTACAAGGCAAAAAAAAAGTTGCTGCTACATTAATAAGAATATTCAAAGCAGCCAGAAATTTTGATCTTGAATGCTTTGCTTCAAACATGACAGTTTTTATTGTCTTTTGATTCTTAGGGCCAGAGGCCGGCTTCAGTTCAGTTCCTTATTCCAAAAGAGAAGAGAATGGAAGCAACAAAGCCCTGCTCATAGTAAAGCAATACGGTTAAGTTACTGCAGCTTACTGTTCCATAAAAACTGAGACTGCCAATAAATATGGCACAAAAAACGGCAAGAGCATACTGAAACAAGAAATAGCTGTGCGAGAAAGGCCAGTTTCCAGGCTGCCACCTGTTTCACTTAAAACAAAAAAAAGGCAAAAAAACCCCTTATATTTTCATTTTGACAAAACATGGGAAGCTAGCATCTTGTTTTCTACTAAATATCTCTAGAAAGGACATTTTTAGAGTTTGTCTGTAGTGGCAAAAATCTTATTTATCCCTTCGTGCAGTGGTCTGAAGTCTATGATTTCATATCAAGTACATAAAAAATAAAAGCATTAATGATTTCTCTATTTATTAAAATAGAGTTATTTCTTGAAGTGATTACATTATTTTCTCCTCTTTTTTCCATAAGAGCTAAAGCTTATTAAGCCCTAGACAGCTGAGAAATTCTGTTAATCTCTGAGGTTTTTTTGTTTTAATGTAGCCAGTCATTTAAAAGTGTAACAGCTGAAATACTAAGGTCTATGTTCCTAACCTATATTCTCTGTTAGCACTGCTTTCTCAGAAAGGACTGTTCCTGATTATTTGCTTTCAAGGGAGCATCACTCCTTATTCAACAACTGCAGATACCAGGTAAAGTTTGCAAAGTTTTTATTGCTTCTAAAAGATCACAAGATATACACAGCTTCTTGTTCATGTAAAGCAGAATTTCACAGGGAGACTTCTGCAGAGACTTCTCAGCTAATGGGGCTAAAAGCAATTCACCTTTAATTCTGCTTACTGGCACATCTTTGAATTTTAACTATTGCACAAAGTTGCAGTATGGTGAAATAGCAACAGAAATAAATGAAATAAATTTTTGAAAACGCACTGGGACCTTGAAGTGGCTCTGGAATATCATGGTAGAGGGGCATGGTGGAGGTGCATGAAGACCTCTGATTGCTCTTTCTCACCAAAAGGTTTGCTGCTTTTCTTTCAGTCAGCTTCCATATGCATTTTAATGCATGGACTGTAAAGGAAAAATCTAGCCTAGAGATAACAAAAACTTGAAAAACTTTACCTAGGTCTGCAACACAAGAGAAATAAGCAGATGAAAGTATACATGGTCTGGTCTGCTTCAACTTCTACTGAACATGCAGGAGCAACTGATTTCAGCAAGTTTCAGCAAGACCCAGGTAAACACCTCTCTCTCTTCCCCCTCAGTTATAGGAGGGTCCCTTCTACCATGGAGAAGGTTCCAAGCATTTACTTTCTCTACCAAAATTGCTTCCCTTTTACATTAAGCATGTTGTCACCACACCAGTGCACGGTCGGCCAGGACACAATTTGTACGAAATGGGAACAACATATAAGCCAACTCCATCAGAAGTAGTCCTTTCTGACGGAGGGGACTGAATAGGAGCCCGGGTGCTTAGAGGAGATTCCAAAGCTGAGGAGATTTGGGGATGGAGCTTATTGACTGAACTCATATGATGAACGTATTCCTCTGAAACTTTGTCAAGATGAAGCCGTGGTGGGTATGCGTGCTCCGGCCGAGGTAGGTGGGCAGTTCTTCTGAACTAAATACAGTATAAAAGGAATCGGAATCTGGCTTCTTTGTTACCTTTCAAACTCACAGTACATTATTTTAAATGGATATTTCTCCCTCTCCTCCGCACATATCATATTTTAAAGTAGCTTTTTCTTAAATGGCTTAATGCTTCTAGAATATGTGTTTCCTGAATACATGTAACAAAAGGTAAAGCCCCTCTATCCTCTCCCCCCCCAATATTTAAGCTCTAAACATGCAAAGTTAGGGCATGCCATATTTACAATTACCCAAACAATGGGTAATTGCCTCCTTTTGCATTTGCCCTCTATACTGAATGAGGTTGCGATCCTAAGGAGAAAAAAAATAACATGTATCTAAATAATGAATGCCTATATGTTAGTATATAAACACAAGCAAGGGAGTTAACACTGCACCAGCAGCTGCAAATCCATTTTTTAAGTCTTATTTTCAAATTTACTGTTACTGACATTGCCATTTTCTTTTTGTTTTAGGTTACGTTTCTTTCCTTTGTAAACTGAGGTTGAAGACAACAGCATACTTCGGGCAGTGCTAAGAGTTGTCCCTCCCCGTTGTGAGCCATCAGTAGTGTGTGACCAGCCACCAGCCCCCCGACTGCTGCAGCCCCTGACTTGCCACCAGTCACTGGCAGAAAGCAGCTGCTCGTTTTTCAGAGAAGAAACTCTTTGCAGGGCCTAGACTGTGATCGCAGGGAGTCATCAAGAAGACAGGGCACTTTCCCACAGTGCAAATCATATTGCCATGTGGAGAGGGAAAAAATAAATTACTAAATTCCTAGGCTTCCTTAATCATTAAATTTGCAATTTCCAGGCCTAAGCATAACCAGCATCTCAAAAACTGCATGCATTACCTGTTCAAGTTTGCTTGTACTGTTCACTGCGACATTTTCAGATGCACTGTCTTGAGATTGCTGCTTACACAAACCTTTAGCTGCATCTTTAAACATGGTGTCTTTCTCCAGCAAACTGTCTTGCTTGGCAATCGGTAAAGCCAGGGGATTGCTACAAAGAAAATCAATAAAGCAATTACACTCCTTCTGAAGATGTCAGATAAACAAAAGATTGCCAAATGCGGGTGGCACAAACACAGAACTAAGATATAATCCAGGGCTGAGACAGTAGTTCCTGATCCAAGTGGGGGTGGGGTGGGGGAGTAAAGAAACAAAGACTGCTCACATAGATTGGTCCGTACTCAAAGACACACAGGTCTCAGTAAAATACTTTGATTTAAAATTCACCTTTATACATATCTGTTCTGAAGCAGAACTCAGTGAGTCAAACAGAATATGCATGAATTTGTATTTGATAGCACTAGGTTTGGCAAATCAATAGGCAATTTGAAAACTGAAATTAAAATGCATAATTAACCTACATAACAGTATTATGGAAAGTAATATATTTCAAAATAATTCAATATAGATATTGCAATTGCAGTTAAAAAAATTAAAATCTTTTTTTTTTTAATGAGGCAATATGCAAGTTATGCTTTATTTAGATTAAAAGCTGCTTTGATTTTGTGATATGGTAAAATAATAGCACATATACATATGCAAATACACATACTCAGTCTGCAGATGCTGATGCTTCCCCTACTGACACTTGAGATCATATCGCACTTCTGAAAAACAACAATGCCAAAATCTTAGATGATTTTGGCTATACTGTACATCCTCAGGAACTAGGAAGGAATTAAGCTCAGGAGCTGAATCCACAGACATCTTAAAAATAATATTCTGGCCTCTGAGAATGCAAATGAGACAATCTCATGGCAGCTCCTTGCCATAATGCGTGCACAATTTATTGGACAGGAACTGTGGACTCAGTGTGGGAATATGGGAATGGTGCATTCCACTATGGGATAAGGCCCAGATGTCAACCTCAGTTTACTCTTAAGTAAAGAGTACTTAAGTACTCTTAAGTAAATTACTCTTAATCTCATTTTTACTCTTAAATTACGTAAGTCATCACCGGTTATAATAAAGCCAGGATTACACACACACACACACACACACACACATATACACACACACTCAAATATATAGTACATACTGAAGTAAAAATACTTCCATTCACTCAAATGAAACTGCATTCACTCAAATGAAACAAAGCAGGACCCACAGCTAATGCTGACTTCAACTCCGGTTAAGAACTGCTATTGGAAACAGAGGTGAAGTGTGGGCACAGTTTTAGAAAGGTGCAGTCCTTAACAGAGGCAAAACACCTGCTAAGCAGAACCCTTTAGGAAATCAGTGTCAATAGTTTTCCACCGGAAAAAAGTCATATCAACAAAACTGTTTTTTGATGAAAACGTATCAGTTATCATGAAATTTTGACTTTTAAAGAGAGAAGAAATGTTTTCTAAATATCAAAATCATTGATTTCAATATTTTGTAATGAAATATTGATATTTGCTTTTCTAATGATATTTTGCTTCACATATTTTGCATTAAAATGTCTAGAGGGACACTAGTGAAATTTTTTTTTAATGTACTGGTTTGATTGATCTGAGATGATTTTGTCATAAATTTGTTTACCAAAGTCACACAATCAAAAGACTGAAGAGCCAATTACATTTGCCTTTTTCCTTGATTTTGGCTGTAGAATAGAAAAGCCATAATCTAACTCTTTTCATGAACCTTGGAAATTTTTAGATATCATACAATACAAGGTATCATTGACTTGGCTGTAGAAAGAATAAAATAGCTGTGACACCCTGAAGCAGAAATGACTGATGCTATTTCACATTTTCCCCTGACTTAGAATATAACATAATTAAATGAAAAAAACATAACTAAATACCAACTTGCTTTTTGAGCAGTCTTTTGCTATTCTCCAAAATCACCCAAATTCATTTGGACTAAGTTATTTTCAAATTTAATCACATCTAAAGACAAAATGTTAAAGAAAATTGTAAGTCAAATGAATTCAAATATTAAAAATGTTAGCATTGCCACTTACAACTTTTTATTATTCATAAGATGCATCTTTTAGATTGGGAAGATCCAGGATTTTTTGCTATGAGATTTAACCTTTACCATTTACTCTTATCACTTTTGGGCTGATTATTCAACATGCATTAGAAATCCTCTTTTTAACATTTGGCTGTGAACTCGTCACAGTATCCAGATAAAAATAAACTTTTCAAGTGTTGCAGAAGAGAATTAGGTTGTACAGGACAGCTAAGTGTGAGGGGAAAAAATGTTTACTGTTTCTGCAAAGATATTTTGAACTTAAAAGGACAAAAAAGTATGAAATGTAAAACAAAGTCATTTAACGGAAGTATTAATACACATGAATAGCAGTAAACCACAGAACTTGACTTAAACAAGCAGAAGCGTTCCCAGTACTCATGTACAAAAGAATATCATATCAACTATGTGCATTTGTGAGACATTAATAGGACTTTAAGTGATGCAAATGCAAGCGTATAATGCATATTATAACAAAAACATGAATAATTACAGGAGAGAAAAAACAGATTAAGACCACACAAACAGTTCATTTTGACTTAGGTTACACTTTGGTTACACTTTGACTTAGACACCATGAAAAATAAAATAGATTGAAACAAAATGTTTCCAGGAAGCAGAGCAGCTTTTTAGAAATATATTTCTTGCGTTGAATACAATCATATGTATTTCTATTAGTCACAAGATGAAGTTAAAAAAACACCATTGAAAATTCCACTGCAGGACAGCGCAAAAGAAGATATTATGTAAATGCAAGAAAGTGAATTAGCATGAACTGTCATCTTCAATGCTAATTAACAGATACTTAATAGATAATTAATCACAAAGGGAGACTTGAGTCAAAAATGTTGCATAATAGATAAGAAGGGGAGTTATCTAGGGTAAACTTATTTGAACAAGGAAGGACTGTTGCTACTGGCATATATAACTCAGAAAAAATCTAGCATGTTATATGGAGGAGTAGTCACTTAAATTTTTAGATGTATAAGCCATCATGTGAATAACTAATTCTTTTTTAGATAATGATGTGAGATGTTTTTCTATAAGTTGCCATCCTCTAGTACTTCTTGGTTTTCAAGAAATAGGAAATGATACAAAAAATGGGAGCTGATAATCAAACAATTTATATAGTTTTATCATCAATATTTGAATTACTACGGCAGCTTCTAACTAGGTAGAAAGATGTTATAGAAAACATTCATTAAGATAGACTCTGTACTGACATTTTCACATGAGCTCTTCGAACTTACAGCTTTTGTTGGAGAGCTATAACTTCTCAGTTCTGTTACTGTGAACCTTCTCAGTCCAAAGACTTTTTAAAGCTCCACAAAGAAAATTTTGTTTTGGATGAATGATGGATAAAACACTAGCAGACTGTTCTAAACCACTAGAATAATTGAAATGCAAGTTGCTACATAAACGGTTATAAAGGGAAATGCTTTGTAAGAAAAAGAAAATTCAATCTCTTTTCTGCAGTTCACTGACACACATCGACCTATGCTTTTACATTCTTCCATTGATTTTGAAATGCATTCATTATTGTAATTAATATTTACTTACTTAAACATACACTACAAAACATACAACATGACTAAATTGGCATTATTCTGAGAATGAGTTCCCAATTTTTTAGTTCTTATTACTACCTAGATTACTGGACTATTTGTGAGTTTAGGACAAAATTCACCTAGAAAAGTTCTACAAATACATGTACTAAACTAGAATTGTTGTGGTGATCATTCAAGCCTAAAGTTACCCTAAACTGATAGAACCATTTTATTTCCTGAACCACAAGCTATGTTGATTAATGTTTTCTGGTACAATTGTTTGCCCAGCGGAGTGTGGGAATCTGTTCTGACTATACCATTAGAAGTAAAATGAATTACTAATTGTTCTGTCCTTTAGCTAACTACCTTGGTCATCCTTCAGAGAAACTCATACTGGCAATAGAAAGGAAAGATAAGCATCGGCTATATAACAATGTGATCTCTAACATGAAACCAGCTTCCTGTTCTTTGACCTCCACTGCCCACCCATTTTCTTGGGCCAGATTCTACCACTTTTACTCACAAATGACAATACTTTTAGCACAATATTAAGAAACACTTAGATAAAGTGGCAATGCATTAAGTAATGATATATCACAAACACATTTGTAAATCCTTATCATGAAATGTTAAAATATGAACTGTAGAAATGAGCAAAATGCATTTCCTGAGAATTACCTTCCTAGTCTATCCCTCCTAAATTATATAGACAAATACACTCAGGAGAAGAAACATAAAAGAATAATATTCTAATACTGGAATTACGGCTTCATAATAACAGGATTTCAAATGGATGAACTCAGTGACTGCCTAACAGAAATCAGATCTGCTTGATAACCTAGCATAACGCAAACATACTGACAATTAATCTTTTCTTTTGAACTGAGTAGAAATATTGACCTTCAGTTCATCTATTCCATAGTGTTCTTCTAGAAAGCAATACTGTAACTTAATGTAGAACCAGCAAAATTAAGTTTTATTGACATAGCACAAGCTATTCACAATTGTTTGATCATCATTTTTGAGTCCCCTTTGAATACTGTGTTCTTCTGCTTTAGAAGTGAGTTTAGCAGCTAGAGTCAAATATAGCCACAACACATTGTTATATTAAGTCCTGTAAAACTATCACCTCAGGCTAAACACACTCCCTTATATCAGAACAGTGAAAAACAAAATATTACATTACTCCTAAATCGACAAGGGGAACTTAAAATGCAGTTAACATTTACTGTGGATGCAATATAGATTAAAGGAATAGTAAATCTGGGCTTTTATTATGTGGTCCTCGTTGCTGCACTAAAAGAATTCTATTTGGTACACGAGAATAGCATAGACAGATTCATCTTCATCCTAGTGTATTTCATGGCTGTCTAAAGGCTACTTTAATAGAGCACAAAGGATGGAAGTCTTCATTTTCAACACTGGCCATTGAAAAGGTAGTAGGAATTCATTTGAACCTAGCCATCTAGATGCCTCCATAATTACTTGAGAGAAAAAGGCACTCTGGAGAATAGATAATTCAATATACCTTAAGCAGATGTCAGGTTTTGCTTTTCACTGTTGAACAAGCTTAGTACTACAGAGATGAGGCGACTGGCTTTGAAAAGACGTCTGATTTTCAGGTGACTATAAAGATTAGATATACTGCTTCTAAACAAACTGGAAATATGTAGACATCGTTGTATGGATTACCCACCGTTTTCCATATTTTCAGTAGTGACGACTGGGTCATGCATGGGCCAAAGACACCAATTTTCTGCCTTCCAAGAGCTCTCCCATGTTAGAGGAATTGCTGGCTTGCTAGCAAGGCCTTTGTTGGCCCCCTGCACTGATCGCAGTACTCGAACTAGTTAGTGCAAAAGAAATCCTTCAGCCCAAGACTGCTGCAAGTCTGGAGAATGTATCAAAGAGGAACTACTTCAGGCTTGCCATAGCCTTGTATTTTCTCTCCACACATTTGCAATGGAGCATTGTTGAAGTCAGTCTACTGGGCTAAACAGACCTTTGGTTTGACCTATTACTGTGTTCTCATGTGGGTTGTTTTTAAAGTACCACCAAATTAGCTCTAATCCCATGCTGGGACTAATCTGCTAATAGATCCTATAGAGGATGCTCAGTCAACTTCCACACATAAATCTGTTTCCTTCATTTTTCCATTCTGTGGGCTTTGCTTTTCTAAGATTTCTGATGAAGTTCGTGAGTCATGGCAATCTTGTATTATTGACATCTAAAGGCTAACCATTTAGAAATCTCGCAAAAAGTAGATCTCTTCATCTACATTTTAGGAAGGAAACAGTAAGGAGAGAATATTCTCAGAGCACTTCTACTGTACCCCAGTCATTTATTTCAAAAGTTTATGGCTTTGAATGTAAAGAATAGTATCTAGCACAAAGTTCCAGAATATAAAACACTGAGAATGAACCTAATGGTCAAGAGCAACAAAAAAGTTAGCAAAGTCTCTACAACCTTTAAGAATAACTCATTTCCTAGTATCATTATAATGTCATAAGAGATTCTGCTTCTAGTATTAAAACTGTTTACCAATATTAAGAAATAGTTTTTCCTTATGTTTGAGAATATAAAGCCTTAGTTTTACACCTCAAAATTCAAACTTCTCACTTACCTTAAGACTGTTGAGGGTCGTGTAATTTTCAGGAGCATGATTCAGTGGATTAGACTAGAGGACTGCTTATCTCACAAGCAATTAACAAGCACGAGAAATTAATAATTTAATAAGCAATTATGTCCTAAATCCAGGTATGCACAGTAATGACTACCAATCACCCAGCTGAAACAAGAGCCTAGGTGCATGAAATAAACATGAAATATGCAATGGTTACTATATATAAATATATCCTGTGGACTTCTGAACTCAACAGTTTGACCATTTCTTGATAATTCCTTATTTCTTCCAGATTTTAATGTATTCCAAATACTCTCTGCAGACCATAAATTACAACTATTATTAAATAAAAGCAACTATATGTTCTCCATCTCTTTATATATAATCTGAGTTTTTTTTTAATTTGCTTCTGAAATACACTTTGGTGGTCGACACAGAAAAATTAACAATAATATTTCACAAGGTTACACAGCCAACATGCTTCAGTTACACAGCAATGACATACTACATGAAGAAATTATCTACACTTTTTAAAACTCTGACAGATCACAATATCTGGAAAGGTGAATTTAAGAAATCAATCTGTCCTGCACTACCATAAAACTACCATTACTGCTGCATACGCAGCTTCCACCTCTTTTGACATACCGTGACGGTCTTAAGAATTGAAAAAATACAGGAAAAGGTCAAAATTTAAAATTTAAGATACAAATTAACTCTATGTTCACTTCAATACTGAATTTTAAGTTCAAGCTGCTGAATTCTACTTAATTCTCCCAGAATTTTACCCAGCACAAATCTAACTATAAATCTGTAACAGCCTGGAGCTATATCATTTTATCTATTATTGCTTCTATTATTTTTACTTTTAGGACTTGTCTGTGCTTCTCTCATCAGTAATGGTAATTTTACTAAATTATTGCTATCTACCTTAACAAAATGATGTACACTATTAACCGGAAATAATTCTGCTAAGGTAACCCTGGTTATTTTTACTGACAATTGTAAAGATGTATTATATTATTCATAGTCTGCATGTATAAAATTAAGGCTGACAAAAAGAGATGAGAGACACAAACACAAAAGAGGTTCAGAAAATTTCCAAAACAAAAGACTTATTTGACCCATCCAATAGAATTCAAATGATAACCCAGCCTCAGTGTGTCATTCTTAACAAGAAACACTTACAGTTTATTGGAAAGTGTGGGCAGATCATGGATGATCTCTTCATATGGCTCTTCTTGAGATAAAGTAGAAACAGATAAAGGGTCTTTCATTTTTTCCTCCCAGACAATTTCAGCCTTTAGAAGCATTTCCTCAATAAACTCAGAAGCTGCAATATCTAAGACATTGCAATAACAAGATATGAGACCAAAGAAAGTAGTGCAGAAAAGCTCCTTTCAATTCATATATCTAGATCAGATTAAGATTAAGCATCTGGCTAGATAAGCGTTTTGTTAAAAGAAAAAGAATTACTCAGATACTGATCATAAAATAATAGTTGAAATTACTAGGGAAAAAAAACAAAGGTAAGGTACATACAGTATGAATTAAGTTATCATTTGAAAAATCTCAAAATTCACCGTATAGTGATTTGAAGTATTATTTAATAATTCATAGGACCTTCCAGAAAAAATAACACAAGACTATTCCCAAGTATTTCAATGAAAAGAAGTAATGAAATCCATTTCAAATGTTTTAAATTTCTACAGAGTGGACATATACCTAACGCACACACAGAAGTGGTAAAATTATCTGTTTGCATACAGTTAACTTGACTTTGTTAAATACATGTGGACCATTCTCAGTTTGGTCCACAATCTTTTGTCCAAATATAAATTGGCATCTATTTAATCCCAAAAAACTTTTCTGAGGTTGAGTGTTGCGCAATTTCATAGAAGAATATTTTTAGATGATAGATTATTTGAAGCATAACATATTTTAGTTTACTACACAACGGAATTTCTCCTCCAAATCTGACAGAAACACTGTTTGTTCTTCTACATTCCTGGGTTCCTTCCTCATTTTATCCTAGACCTAGAAGGCTGCATAGGCATCTATTTTTTTTCTCTCCAACTGATCTAGCATCACTGATGTTAGCTCTGCTTTGATCACTGGACTAGATCAGATGATCTCTTGAAGTCCTTTCCAACCTGAAATAGTCCACGATTCTATTTCCTGTAAAGCCAGCACTTAAGTTCTCTGTCACTCTGCAAACTAAGAAGGTGCCTTCTACTATGGGAAACAATGGATATTAAATTTGGATACTGAATGCTGAATTTGTGTTTATTTAGCAGCTACAGGGATTCCAATTTATGGCTGCCTGCAGCCATGTATGCACTACCATCAGCCGAGACAGGGAAAGGAAAATCAGAAAAAAGTCACCAAGAAAGCGTAAATACAGCTACCACAAAGGCACTGAAGAACTCACGAGGGAGAAGAAAAACAGAGAATGAATGAGGCGCAAAACTGTAAGAAAATGCCGTCATTTGGTATGACATCTTGGGTGATCATGACTAACAGCTCTCAACACATGCAAAAAACATATACGCACACAGTCATATGTTTATGTAACTATACACTGAGTATATATACACACACATATGTGCGTGTGTGTGAGTGTGTGTGTGCGCATGTGCATGCGCGCATGTGTGATGACACAAGCAAGAAGGAAAGAAGACAGTCTCACAACAATTAGTTCATGCAGAATGTGTGTGGATTTTCACCTACCTGAAGGCTTTTCATTATTGCAGTTAAGAAGATTGGGATTTGCCCAGTGCATCAAAAGCAGCTTCACAAGGTTTGTCTAAAAATGGGCAAAAATAGAAGTTTTTGAAAAGGTAAAAGTAGGACAGGAGCATTGCAGCCATCATTCAGTTTATTCTGTCCTTCCTGCACTGCTTGAAATTATATGATACACCACAGGGACACCTCCAATATTGCACCTGCTACAGATGCTATACATGTGTGTTGTATAATTCACAACAGGTAGAGTAATATACAGTTCTCCCATGATTTCACTGTATCCTCAGCACATGTCCACCCCCTAAAAGTCTTCCTCCACCCCTACAGCTGCAAACAAATCCACGTCAACATGGAAAAAACTAACCCTTCATCATCATGTGTCATGACTTAGATTGCAAACATTTCTTTACACCCAAGTAATTCACCAAATGTGTGCTATCATCGCCAAGGGGGTCTGAATCACAGCCACCATGGATGGAAATCTGTTCTCTGTCACTAGTGGAAACTGGGACATTTATCTTACGTTTACCAAACCTATTTAACCTATTAGTAATGGCAGCAATTAAACTGCAGAATATCATACAATGACAAACGGTAACATATTTTATGACATATTTTTCAATTCCTGCAAGCAGCTGTTTTAGTAAGCTTTTCTATCACTAAACTGAAGGCTCTAGAGATATTCTTCATCAAAAATTGTAGCAATGTCTACTCCGATAAATTCGTTGGTCAGAAAGGAGTAAGGAAACGTAAAAAAAAAATAAAAGAGCAAGAAATACATTCAGAATGTGAGCTGAAACCTGAACAAAAGGAGAAAAGTTTTGGCACTTTGGAAGATACACTAGAGCAAATAAATAGAATTTATATTATAGAAGTAACCTACAGGGAAAGTAAGGTTGAGCACAGGGGAAAATAAGATATGCAGCAAAGAAAGGATTCTTTAGAGCAAAAGAAGAGAGTAAAAGAAAAATGATACTTGGATTGGAAGGCAGTAGGGACTGGATAGCAATTTGGCAAGAAAACAAGCAGATAGTTTAAATAAATAAACAAATAAAGGCTAAGAAGGAAGGAAATCATTGCAAAATAAATACTAAAACTCAATATGGATTCAACAGCTAGGACGCAATTTACTAAGAAAGGCACCATATAAATATGAATAAGGAAGCACCACCTAAATACAGACCTCTCTTCCCCTAAAAAACTCAGCTGCTCTCTAGTCACACCAACTACTCTGTAGTCACACAAAACAGGAAAATACTGCTGCAAATTTCTGTAAAACTAGAAAGATCTCAAGCTACTCAGCTTTTTAATGCTGGCTTTCTATTCTGGCAGTAACAGCAGAGAATTCAGCAAACTGTGGAAGTGGGGAGCAAGCCGTGACTGCTTTATTTCCCAATCCAGTTAGCCCTGCTTTCAACTTAGAAGCCTCAACACATATATCTCTGTGTTTTTTCATTATGAAAAAAGAGAATATGCTTATTCATTGTGTAGACTAACTCAGCAGCAATTGCATAAACTCGTTAACAGCAACTCTGAAAAGCGGTAGTAGTTGCATCAAAGCAGGTTTTTTAATACTCTTTCAGTTTAGTAACAATACACAGCTTTTTGGGTTACCAAAGTTTTGGATTTATGCCACAAGAGGTCCCTTCAGTGCTGTAATGTCAATGTTTCCTGCTGTCAGAGAAATAATCCAAGCTGGAAATCCTGGATGCACATCACCAAGACTAAGATATTCAGGTCACTGCTAATTTCAGTTACCTGCTCTTGGATACAGGAGTCTGTCTGTGTTAGTTTTAAACTCAATTTGTTTACATGTTTTAGAAGCCAGTTAAAATGCAGCTGTCACATATCTTCAGAACTGTGCCTAACAAAGGAAATGTTTCTAAAACAATTAAGGCAAACTACTGCTATTCATAGCTATTTCAATTGTAGAAAGAGCTACGAATAAAGTAGATATGACTAATTTTAGATAAATTGTAGTATATAAAGAAGCACTGTAGACCCTAAGGATAAAATGTCAGAAAACTGTTAATGTGCAAAGAATATATATTTTAATCCTTATTTTCCAGTGTTGTCTTTGCTAATTAGTATACATGAAGAAAAAAATAAGGGATGGCTCATGTGCAGAAATACTAGTAATGGCAATTATTTAAAATACATGATTACAAAATGTCATTTGTCCTGGTTCTGCCCTACACCTCTAAATACACCCTCAGTGTCCTCTGATAGGACTCCAGCAAACCTCTTAGACCCTTCTCTTCTCTTTTCAGGACTTATCTCTTGAGCACTCTCCCTCATGAAATACAAACTTTCTCTGTACAAATATAGTACAGCTCTATCTCCCCACTCTAGGTGTTCTGTCCAAATTACAATTTTTCCCTCTCTCTCTGACATCTCCTCCTGGATGTGTTGCCCTCTGACCACTGAGAATGCTGCTGCAAGGAATATTTCCTCACTTCACTCCTTTAATCTGAAAGTCCTATCTTTTGCATTGTCCACTGGCTCCTTCTTCCCTCCGCAAACCATATACCACTTGTCCTCACTTTCAAAGGGCTTCCAGAGATGCTTCTTGCCTTACCTATTCCCACTTATTCAGTATTCAGACTCCAGTTCCCACCTCACATCAGCAGTCTGTGACAGTGGCCTTCATTAATGCCTCTGCAAATTACTACTTCTGTGCTTTTTCCAGGCTGCTTCTCACATGAGTAAGGAATTTTTCATAATATCTGGAAAACTGCACTGCTAACCTCCATTCACAGCCAGTTTTGATGTGATGCTTATAAAGCAGAGAAACAATTTAGTTGCTGCAGTTCTAAGTTACTGCGGAGAAAACTCCAGCTTCCTCATGCCTGAGATAACAATTCTGTTGATATACATGTAGGCTGGAATTATACGGGATGGGAGGATAATGTCTATTACAGGAATACAGTTGGAAAGCTACTATAAAGCCTATGTGAGGCTTAGCTCCAAGTTTCCTCCAGGTTCCTGTAGAAGAAGTATTATTTATAGCAGCACAGCAACTGGGTTTATGTTTTAGGTAAAGCTTCAGAAATACTTACATTTGCATGGATATATTTTAATGTCATTGTTAATCAAAAATGAAACATTTTTTGCTGCAATCGAAAACCATACTGAAACATTGTGCTAGTTCTTCAGTAGATTTTCATGTTAGAAATGAATGAAACTATGGTGCATAATTAAGTCAACTACCTAAATGGACTCCCTCTTCTACCGTTTCCCAAATATAAAACCCTCAGCACATCAACCAATCACCAATTTATAACATAAGGAATAAACCTCTGAAAGGTACTGTTTTACACATGACAGCTACTATGCATGCCCTTTTCTCAGCAGGCTTTGGCTTTAGGCTCTCACTGCCTTCACTGCCTCATTGCAGCTCCTGGAGACCCATTAGAGCCTGCTCAAAGGGAGTTTGGCTGCTGTTGGCAGTGTGCCCACATAAGGCTCCCCAGCGTGGACAACCTGTCCAGGCGCTTCTTTGCCTTCTTGGATGAGACCTGCAGCCTGGTTCTTTGCTATCTGCTCTCCATCTCTTTTCTGTAGAGCAGCCTCTGAGCAGCCACTACTTACAGTTCAGTATTTTAGAGCTAAGCTCTGAACTACAGCACTTTTGGAGCTATCTCACAAGCAGCTTGGTTGCCCGCTGCTAAGCTGGGGGATATGGTCCCTGACTGTGGGTCAATTTTAAAGCTACACTAGGGTGGTCGCATTTAAAATAATGATTTCACTGTTTACATAATTTCTTCTCTAGCAGCAGAGTATAGAAATAGGCATACATTTTTATCCTAAGGGAAAAATCTCCTCTCTCAAAACTTGGTATGAAAAGCATCTATTTTCACAGCTTCAGCCAGACTAATCCATGGCTTATCTTTCCATATTAGGAAAATATCAAAAGCTAATGCAATAAAAGAAGTGGTAAACAGACACTTAGTATCATTTACCATAGAAAAATAGTACAGTTGGAATCACGCTGGTCTCCGAAATTTTATTTTCCATTAATACTTTTGTTGTGATAGTAACACAGGCCTTTATTTAAAAGTGGCCAGTGTCGGGGGAAAAAAAAAAAAAGTAGGGCACTATTTCAACAGTAATTGTACTCTACTATTAAAAAGTTCTGTCAATTTTAACTTTCCTAAATTATTTTCCAGCATCATCACATATACTTTAATGTAGCAAAGGTAACCTATGACTTTTCTAGAGAAGCCTATTTCTCCTGCATCTGAATCAATCTGCTAGCAAACATTTAACACTTGAATATTTATGGACACAGTAAATCCCTGATGAAAATATATTAAAAAGATTATATTGATCACACCTTTATATAGGCCAGATTAAAGTTGTGTGTGTGTGTGTGTGTGTGTGTGTGTGTGTGTGTGTGTTCAAACTCCCAGAATTTGAGCTAAACAAGACAGAAAGCATGATCAGATGTGCAAAAAGAGTACTGCAGTGAAACTAATAGAACTGTATTTTTTTCCAAAATAGTAAGTGATTAACATCACTATTTTCCAGAGTTTAATTAAAATTTATGAAGATGCTTATCAGAGTTGTTCTTTTGGGAAGTCAACTTGGCATGTTATTGTTCTGACTGGGAGATCAGTCTGGTGGGAGAATGCAGTCAAGAATAATCAACATTTATTAGCCATACACTAGTCTCTCAGTAACTCTGATACAGTCACAGGGAGAGGGAACCAGAGAAATCATTTTCTGAAAAATACATTGAAGGCTTTTTCTGTTATCCTTCTGGTAAATTCAGCTAGTGGCTAGCCTTGGTAAGAGCCCAGTGCGAAGGAGCTTGATAGAGTTATCACTTAACCAATTTCTATCTGCTTGGACTGGTTATACCGTAGCATTTCAGGTATAGTAAACACCGATTTAATCCTGTGAGATGGCTTCTTATATGAAGTGTCTTCCCTTTTTATTTTTTATTTTTTTTGGTAAAGAAGAAAACTCTATTCCAGCATATAAATTTCCTTGCAGTCAAAATGCCATACCTCACTGTGAGATGTGCATTCATGGAACGATCACATGAACACCCCTCTA